GTACAGTTTTCTACTTTTACCTTTACCCTTTACCATGTATGGATGGTCCGATAGTTGGCCTGTTTTTTCCTCTGTTTCTCCATTCTCTATTTCTGGCAATTGTCATAAATGTCTGATTAATATGTAAAATTGGAATAACAAGATCAGCATCCACATAACGTACCTTCATCAGTAACTGGGGACCACTGCCTACTGTCACCAACCCAATACCCCATGATGCTGCTGTCACTCTCAAAAAGCCAAAAATTATTTTAAAAAAGTAAGTAAAGTACAGATTTTTGTTTTAATTAGCACATTCCTTAAACTCACATCCACCTAGGAATTTATTGGTGCCACAATTTTGCCCCCACCACTTAAAGAGCACTGAGTCCACAGGCCCAATAAAGGGCTGTAAACTGGCACTGGTGCTAGTGGAGATTTGGAAGTTATCAAAGAGAGAGAGGCATTTGGATGCAGGCTGCACACCAAGTCTTACAAGAGAGATTGAGAATTTATGGTTGGTCTAGTGTTCTTAGTGATCTTTCTGCACTCTGTCCACATGATTTTATCGGTGCTTGTCTTTGCACTGAAGCATTCATCCAACTGGAAGTGAAGGTGAGCAGCCATTTTAAGGGTTTGTCAGCAGAGCAAACATTCATCAGTCAGAACTGCCTTCTAACATTTGTATAAAACGGACTTATTTTCAAAGTAAATGTTCCCCATTGGCATACCTGGCATTTACGTCTGACTCCATACGTTTGTAATAAAGAAGAAGCAGGATATTGACATTAAATAAAGACTTTCCAGAGGTAAGCCTGTGGATTATCAATCTTATAACATTCTTCAGTTCATGCAGAATTCCCTGTTCTTCTCCCCAAACACAGTGAGACAAACATTCCTCATATCATTACTCGTGGGGTATGTGTCAGACGTTATATAAGTGCATGTGGGAACATATGATAGAAGTAACACACTGTAAATGTATCGCCATAATCTCATTCAGAATCGTAGTAAGAATTCAAAGGACTGCTTGTTTTGTGTATAAGACTGTGCAGGTTGTGGTAATACAATGATCAGTTGACCCTTTTTAAATCTTTGTGCAAGCCATCAGGCCCTGTGGCTTTTCCCAAATTAATATAATCTATACCATCTAATATTTAGTTTAACAATAAGCTATGTCTTTGAGGTTTCCTCTGAAACCTTAGGGATGCTGATACCAGGGAATTATTTTATTTGAATGACCTGGTTAAATAAATGCTCGGAGCATTTTACTTTTTTTTTAGTCTTCTTAGTATCCAGATGACATACAGTGCCTTGCGAAAGTATTCGGCCCCCTTGAACTTTTCAACCTTTTGCCACATTTCAGGCTTCAAACATAAAGATATAACATTTTTATTTTTTGTGAAGAATCACC